TATAAATTATAGATAATCTAAGAAAGTAAGCTAGATATCTATTTAAATTTGTATTAAAAACATTAACAGTTATATTCGAAAAATATTTTAATCTTATATTTATTTACTTATTGTTTACATCTTTAATAGAAATATTAAGATCATAGTTTGTAGACTAAAATTATATTAAAATAAAATTTCCCATCATACCCCCTTCAGCTCATCTTTTGTATTCTCGACGAATTTTTACTTTATTTTATTGAAACATCATGTTCAATATACAAGTCTCTCCAAATAAAAGGTATTAAAGTTTTTTTCCATACACAAACATTCACAGCAAAATAAATGACACAATACATATTTTTAAGCAATTGAAACAACAAAGTTAATGCATTTAAATGTATGTTTATTTTATTTTTTTTAAAAAGAGGACTTACAGTAGTATTTTTTAAGCCTTTCTTTGAAAATTCGTTTGAAATAAATTCTGTAGAAATGTTATTAGAAATTTCTTCTTTTTTTTATGTATTAAGATATGTTTGAAAAATCTGTCTTGAATCATTAATTCTGTGTTTTATTTATCTATATATTGTAGAAAACAAGCGATCACGTGTAGTTGAACTGATGTAAACGACTAATACCACTTGTTAAATGGAGTACACGTCATGTGGATGAACAGATTTATTCAAAAATAATTACAAATATAAAAATAGCCAATAACTAATAACCTCAGTATGATATAAAATATTTAGCTTATATAAGTAGTTCCTACTAGCTGCTTTCATTCTATCTACATTCCCAATCTAGTTTATAAAAAGATAAAGTATATATTAATATTATTTTATAAAATTAGAATGAATTTACTTACACTTATATGCATGTATGGATTTGAATGTTACTTACATTAATACAAAAATAACTAAAACCTACCTAAAGACACGACTAATAAATTTTACTTCTTCAGAAAGTCAATATTACAAATTTATAATGTTTAAACTTTATTTAATACGAAATTATTTAATGGTATAACGTAATTTACGTTTGCTTTGTCATTTATGTAATGTGTAATAAATTTAATTTCAACTTTCGTAATTGTTTTATGTACCAATACCTAAGGGAAAAAATGATAAAAACAAAATTATTATGTGATACTTTTGATAAATTTTATTTTCCATATTTTCCAAGTGATTAAAAAATATGGAAATTATTTTACGAAGAAAAGTTTATGATCAACAAACTATGGGCAAGTATTGATGTATCGTTTTAACTTCTTAATAAATTACAAAAGTACTTACACTTATTTTAATACTCCATTAACTGTTTCCTGGAAATTTTAATCTCATAATTGATATTTATACGGTTTAGGATTTTTTTTTACTTAAGCGTGGTGTTGTTTGTTATACTTATATGTATTTGAAAATTTGTCTATGTTAATCATATTTCTACACAAAACTAATTCTACATTATAAAATATGTACATATTTATAAATTATATTATTTTTAATTTTTTTTTTTTATACATTCATGTAAAGTCACATTTTAGAAATGTTATGAAGAAAAAGACAAGTTGACCATAATTTTTTTTAAACGAAGAACTTCGTAAGTACACAAATTGCAAGAATTTATAAATTTATAATTAGTGTGAATCAAAAAATGCATAGGTTATGAAGTTAGATTTCAAGATATACTTAAGAATAATTTTACTGAATTGTGACTAAACCTCATCCTCAAAGTTCATAATTTATAAATAAAAACCGTATATTTTATATAAAAATTAACCTATTGATTATAGTATTGTATTGTCTTATATGGAAAAAAATGTTATCCAAGGTAAAAATATTTATACACTTTTTTAGTTAGACAATAGTGATATAAATACAGTCGGTAGTATATAATATTAAACATTAAAGGGTATTAAATTTCTACGACACTGGGTACAAAGTAGTTAGATTATATTGGGCTAGCCGTTTATATGTTTCAACACGTGATTCAGTTGATTATGTTTAAGATACATAAAATATAATTAACATAGCCTGTAAGTACTTATATTTGAAATAAGCTATAAATTCATTATTATAATACAATTTTTATGAAAAATAGTTTCAGCGTATTTATTTTATTATTAGCTTGTTCATAAATTATAGGCCAGACCGGAATTCAATTTAAAGAAGCAGCGGCAGTCACCAATAAAAAGTACATTAAGTTTAAGAACATTGTAAGATTTCAGACTTAAATATAAATAAATATAGGAAAATATAATTCGCAGACTATTCTTATCTTTTATTAGGAGTAAAACATTTCCAAAAAAGAAGATGATATTTTAGATTAGATTTTATAATGAAACATTCATTGACTATGACGAAAAATGCACTAAAAAAATCCAATAAGTCAATTATTCCATCAAATCTAATTGCTTAAAGGATTTTGTGGTAAATATTAGATTTATAAAAATTAAATAAATCAAATGTAGAATCTGATTTTTTAATTTTGAAAACTCAACCCTAGTGACCAATTAATTATTAATCCATTTGGGCTTTTTTGCATTTTCTCTATATAGTTAAAAATTTAGGAAATAATTAAAAATATTTATTACTCATTAGTTGGAAATAGAGATAAAATTATATTTGAATTAAAAAACGCATAAATATGAATTTTAATATTTTCTTAAATGTTGTATTACATATGAAATAAAAATATTATAAAAAAATTGTAAAATGATAAAATATAATCGTAAAAATAAAAATGATTGACTAACGTGTGTCCATTTAAGTTCCAGTGTTGGTAGGTTGTAAAATACTGAAAATAAATAATTTCATGAATTGAAAGTATATTGATGGACTATAAGAAAAAAACTATAAAAAGATAAGTAAAAAATTAAATTAAAAACATGACTGAATTGTGATACATTTAAAAAAAAATTTAAAAAAATTACAGGAATAACTCGATAGGAAATATGTCAATATTTAATATTCCATAAAAATTATAGTTTTCTATTGTATTATTAGATAATGTGACTATATATTATGACAAATATTAGAAAAAAATTTATATAAACATGAAAAAAATCTAATCGTAAAAAATTATAATATTTTTAATTTCGCTTCTTTTTATCCACAAAACCAATTTTTAGCTTTCTCTGCTATATTTTTTGTTACTTTCTTGAACGTGTATATAACTGATGATTATTCATTAGTTTTATGGAAATTGGTATATACATATAATATATATATGAAAAAAAAAACATGAAATCGATTTACAAAAAATGAAATATTTACATACTACGATTTTATACTTATTAGTTTTGTGATAGTATTGTGTATTTTAATTTGTATTGACAGTTTAGTGAAATATCTACTTTTCGTTCAAAATAATTTTAATTAAACCGATAATTTTAAATTGTGCATAAATTAAATTTCGTTCCAATATTACCTGGAGTATAGTAATAAGGTGTTCAGGTATACACGTTGCATCTTTAAAATCGATATACGAGTATGCGTGTAATATGCTTTATGCATAGGTATATTGTATATATATTTCAGGTTAACCTAGATATTTATTATAATGATAGATTTTAAATAAATAAGAAGAATTTTCTGGCAATAAATTAAAAAATGTATTTGATTTTCATACAAATTAAATTTTATCCTATTCTAAATTAATTATCAAATATCTATGTAATTTATACAAATCATGAATATATTTTATAAAATAAATAAAATATTAGTACTTATATAGAGTACGCAACACTTATGTTTTTTTTATATATCTACCAACGAAAAATATTTAGTATAATATGTTATATTGTAATACATTATCAACACCTATCACATTAACTTATTATAAAAAAATCAAATAGAAATATATTATGGATTTGTTATTAAATGTATAGGTCTTACGACAAGAAACATACTTATTAAGTACTTTTATCCATTCTACAGGCAAATTGTTTTTTTAGGTTTAAACATTATATTTTAATTTTGATGTAGGTTTGATAAATAAATGTACAATAATAATAAATGGTCGGGCGTACTCTTAGTGGCGTTATTGCTAAACATTTTTACCTATTTCAGATAAATAATATTTGATATATTCTTATATCATTTTATTTAATATTTATAACTTATAAATTATAATATATAACGTCGAAATTGTATTAAAAAATACACTTTTGATAGGCTTAATATGATAATTACATAATATACACCAAGTATGCTCACTAAATTTTATCTTTAAGTAATACATTTATTCTATTTTTAATTTGTACGTATATAAATACTATATGTTTAATTAATTATATCGCTTATACCACTGATGTAATCCTGTTTAATTTTTATAATAACAATATAAAATGTAAAATAGATTTGTTATTTAATTCATAGTAGTTATTATATTCAGATAATTTTCATAAATTATAAAATGTCAAGAAAATAGATAAATACCCTTTATTTAATTTAAATTTTTAAATTATCATAACAGACCTTACAGATCTATTGTAAAGGGCTATTATTCTTAATACATAAGGTTCTAATAACTTAGAAAATAAAAATTGAAAAAAAAATTAATTCGAACAAATTTTCTATGATTTATCCATGAAAGTAATAATTAAAAAAAATAATATTTGCTTAAAGGTACAGTTATCCTGCCACATACGCGACTTTATGACGTCGTGGTGTTCCACTGTTTGACGCTGTAGGGAAATTGTATCTTTAGCAATTTAAACTTTAAAGAATAGCAGTCTGTTCTTATTTGGAAAATTAAAGTATGTATCACTATATAACACTCTTTAAATGACATATTAAGTCGAAAAGTACTTACTTTAAAGTACCAAAAATCATAATTTGAATAAATGCTTAATTAAAGGTATAAATAGGGGGAGTATGCTTGGTGCATCACTTCGTTTAATAAAATAATAGATCTTAATATACAATTTAACGTTGCATTACATTTCCGTCGATTCTTAATATATTTTTGATTATAAAATAGTTTGTACATAAGTTTATTTGATATAATTATATATGTTATAAAAAAAAAAAAAAAAAAATGTAAACTTACATCCAAACAAAATCTTATTAGGTATATTTTGTAGGTATTTATTGATTGTCAGCCCATGTAACATGCCTTGGTTGAAAGTCAGAATTTAAAGTCACACGGTCATTAAGGACTTTTTGATTTGATCGTCGAAAAAATGACCAACAACCTAATACAATTAATGTTTGCATAGTGACTAGAATTATGGTGATTGCTAATCCTATAGGCCAAGTAATGCACCATTCATTGTTACGAATAACTGTAAAAAAATATAATTAATTATATATTAGAATCTTATAATTATTATTTACATAAAAATTTAAAAATAATTATAATTATTGGTCATATTATTATAAAATATATTTATAATTTTGTGATAGTACTTATATTGGTAAATTAAAAAATAATGTATATTAAGTAGGTAGTAGTCTACAGAAAATCATGACATTAAGAATGAATTATTAATTTTACAATTAATTATTAAATATAAATTGATAAAATTTAAATATATAGTTTATATTTTAATATATCTATAATGTAATAATTGAAAAACATTTCGTATTAACTATGTACATAAAATAACCCAATTTTTAACGTGTAATACATTTTGATTTTGATTTGAGTGTATTTTAAAATAATAAATTGATTCAAACCTGAAGCTTCCAATCTTCTTGATGATCTCTCATTACTATTGTTACTATTACTAATTTGACTTTGACTGGCTATGATTTCTTCTTGTTCTTCAAGAGAACGAACTACAATTGCGAGTTGTAATGGCACTTCCTTTGTTTTAGTTTCAGATATAGGTACATCGCGCTTTCGTCGACCATAGGACACTTGTCCATTTCCACAATCACTCTACAAAAAAAATAAATAATATTAGATAATATAAAATCTACTTTGAAATAAATCTAAACATTTTTTTAATAAATTATTTAAAAATATATATAAACATTATAAATGTACTCACTGGCTTACAAAGCTGATCACAAAACATCATCATGAGGCTAAACCGTAGCACAGGTGACGAAGGAAATCGGAATGCTTTGAATCTAGCGACCATTGAATTTGGAGGTGCTAAATTTAAAACCGGAAATGTCGATGGTTCTGGAGGACAACCTCTCCAATCTAAAAGTAATAAGGAGTCCAGACCATCTCCAGAACTAGCAACCAAGTGGCCTGCTCTTAATTGTGTTGCGTCTAAAACAATTATTATTTAAGTAATTATTAAGTGTCAATATAATGATGAAATAAATAAATACAAATATCTTACTATATGGTTGATTCACATCAATCCGGAGTTCTAATTCATCGCCAAGTTTCACTTCAGATACTTGTTTTACGTTTCGTCCTACTTCTAAAATTCTCATCTTAGCGACTTGATTTGCAGAGCCAATTAAACCATTTGGATCGTATCCACCATCGTTGTATATAGTGTTGTGTATGCTATTATAGATAAATAATAATAATTTTCATGATATTGGTAATGACAATTTCAGTATTTGGATTAATATATTTAAAATATAACTTAAGTATAAACTACGTAAATACACAAGTAAAAATTTTTCATTTTCAGTAATATTCATTTTTAATGGTTTGATATATATATTTAATTTAATACAATGGTACCTAATAATGGTCATTGTTTATAATATTCTTATAAACAACAATAATAATATAGAGGGTATATGAAAATTATACAAATGATAAAATTATGTAATAAATATTATATTACTATATATATAAGTAAAAAAATCAACTTATTGAGTTCAGGTTAACATACACAGCAGAAGATCGATGACTACTGTTTATATTCGTTATCTGAACATGTATTTTTATAAAATTGAGTGAATTAAAATGTTTTCAAAATAATGAAATATTCTTGATATAAGTTCTTAACTACATAATATTAATAAGTATTAATATTATGTAGTTATCTAAATATCGAATGAATACTGTTATTCAAAATATTTTAGACTCAGAGTACCTACTTTTTTTTGTTTGATTGAACATTTATTTTGATTAGTGATAGCATTTAAAAACCATTTTAGCTAATCATGATTTTTGTAAAACATGTAGGTAGCATTGACTTGTAATGTGTTCATTAACTATAATATTTTGCATACCTCGGTTCTGCTACACCAAACGTTGCGTCTAAAGTAATGTTCTGTGGTCTAGACGCCAAGAACGATGGGTGGCGGCTTGAACCAACAGCACATGATACTTTAGTCACTCGATCGCCAACCGTTTGTATAATCGGGTGGTGTTGTACTACGACAACAGCTGTAGCCAATTTCCTATTGCTGTTTGCCGATTTAGCTATCACAACGTCACAGAGATTACGTTGAGTGTGGTTTTCAACTATTGGTAGAGTAATCGTTGTCATATCTGTATGGCGACCGTTAACGCCGCATTCTTCAGGTCTTCCTAGCACAAACATTCTACCCTTGAAGCCCTGAGATCTTAATGTCACTATCATCGAATCATCACTACATGATACGCTTACTGTAATCCAACATACCAACACATTGTTTTTTTATTCATATTATTTTATAATATGTAATATTTATACGGCAATAATGATGATTTTACAAAAAAAAAAAAAAAAACGTATAAGAAAAACAAAAGTTAATAATATGGTATAGGAATAAGGTATTTAATATCATTATATGAAATTAAAAATCACGTGTACGAGGCTTAAAATATAATTGGAAATCTAACAATAAATTACTTTTAATGGCTAATTAGTAGGTTTAAATACATTTCGAGTCAATTAGTTTGGAAAAATAAATGATGTCTTACAATCAATGCAAGTAATTCTTTCTATATAAGTGGAACATGGCGATGGAATGAGTGGGCCAGCTGTATTAGTGTCATCACCGTGTAAAAGACAAAGAGTACCACCAAATTCATCTGTAGGGCATTTAAAAGTATAACCTCTGCAGCTAAAATATTGTTCAGTTTCACATCTTTCTTTGCACTATAAAGAATACAATTAATGTAATTACTATTTATTATTTTTTAATAATTATTCTTTGTAACTTCACTTCATACTTGTTCAATATTAATGTTTTCTACTTGTAAGTCCACTTGTTGTAAAGTTCTATCATATACAGGTTCATGCCAGCATGAATTCATTTGATTTAGACCTTAAATTTTAAACCGCTATTTAATAACTTTATATTACTGTGATAAAAATATAAGATGATATTTATTTTAAAACCTGGCAGTGTATTGGCGCATTCATTTTCTAAATATTCAACTTGATTCCGACTTGGATTAAATGCTGTAGGCTTGGTCTTACGGGTTTCGGAATTCAAAGAACACATCTTGGTTGATCGAAAGTAATTCGCTGACTTACAATTGTTTTGATCAATACATAGTTGGGCACATCTCCACTTGTCGCCAATATTGGGTATAACTGAATATTGAAAACCGTTAATTTCATAGTCCATAGATACTTCGATTGGCCATGCTCTTCGGTTACATGATTCGGGAACTAATAATGAATGTAAAAAAGTTACGAAATTGGTTTTTTCAACATATTAAGCAAATATTTGACTAATCCGGCCGTATAAATATATTGATCACTTACCGCGGAGACAGGCTTTCCTAAAAAAGTTTACATTAGGGGTCATGACAATATTGTCGGTGGAACTTCCCATGTTAGGCACCCGGTAACATGATGTTGACGTGTAATCTATTATGAAGCCGGCACAGTCCACCGACTTTCTACATCTACAATTCATAATCATTTATGAATGTCAAATATAAGATGTATAAAAACGTTTTTAGACATATCTAAATGTATGGTTTTAATTACCTGTTATAACATTCTGCAGTTATGGCAACTCCGGGAGTGCTGGCGTATAATAAGATCGGCTGTACTACAGATCTCGGAGCAGAATTACTATATTTAACGTACGTTACTGGAACGCCATCCGGACAATCTTGACCTATAGTTATAAAATCAGAATTTGAATATGTCTTTTAAAATATTATCTATCGATAGATTGAAATGGTTTTTATAAATTTGAGATAGATTTATACGTAGACATATTTATATGTCTATGTTTTTAGTATGACTTTCAATTCAAATCGTTGAGTTACTATAGTACCTGCACGTGAATATAATCGGTAATGAAGAAGTATCTTTAAAAGTTTAATACACTCTGGTAAAAATAATTTTTACTCTTCGTCAACTATTCAAAAACTTTTTTCATTTTATATCATTAGATAAAAACTACTTAAATGTGTGTAAATTCTTAATAATTGTATGCTTAAAGATTCATTTTAAACTGCGATAATTAGATATGTGTAACATATATTATAACAATAAACAAAGATTAGTATACTAATAAATATTGAATACCTAGATTAATTATTAAAATAAAGAAATAACTTTTACGTATAAAAGCCTGTAACTACGAAATTGAATTTAATAAAGTTGTTTTTTGTTTAACTCAAAAAGCGAAAGTATACCGATATGACAATACATAATATATACAACTTAACAATATACTTTGTAGGCGTGTGGTATATACCTAGCTAATTTTGAAGGTCGACTTAATTGTATATTATTTTCACGTTGTATTATTATATAACACAGGTGGTCCCAGCTTAAGACAATGAACGCCTATTTTATAAAATACCAGTGTCATGATCAATTTTATGATATAAATTGTAAGCTCCCGCTGATCATGGCTGTTAATATATTTAGCGTAGAAATTAAATGGCTGATAATTATTTAATGATTCGTTTGTACTATGTTTTAATTAGATAGTAAGCAAATTTATTTTGTTAATATAGGTAACATTTATTAAGTTAATATTATGATCATTTCATTTTGTTCTTTAATTTAAATAAATAACATGCAAAAAACATTAAAAAAATTAAGAAATAAGAATAAATAAAGTTAGTTTATGTACCAAGAGTATAATGAAACTTTGTAGAACTACTAATGTAATAAGCCAAAAATACGACTATTGTTATAACAGTTATAGTTTACTAAAAAAGTTTTTGAGTAAAATTCAATTATATATTTTGTCATGTATAGGTATGTACGACATAAATTAAAAATAAAATCACCTACTGGAGTTATAACAATAAAAAACGTTACAATTTTTACTCAAGTTATTTAATATTCGTTAAAGTAACTAACCGAAAGTATAGATGCATATAGATGTAATATTTTACATAAGCATAGTCTGTGAATATTTATCACTAATTATTGTTATTAGTGCAACAGCCTCTAGACATTTGCCTGACACTATATTTATTAGTAAACGTATTCGTGTCATACTACAATATATTGTGTTAAACAACTACACTATTGCATTCATATGCTGTATTTATTATGTACAGCCTATATTATGTAGTTTATATTTTGTTAAATATGTTTAATTTAAGATTATTTATAGTGCCCGGATTTAAATGCCCTGAAAACTATCAGGAACGAAAGCATACAATATTGATTACTAATATGGTAATAACTAAATCTATATGTACTAAGTTATTAATATATAAATATCTCCTAATATATTAAATAAACAAAAAAAAGGTCAAAAATGTTTACTGTCAGATACACCAACTGCTCGAATGTCACATCAATCATAAAATGAACAAAAACTTATTTTCTAATGTGTTTTTTTCAAAATATTCTTACGAAAAACTAAATATCACTCATAAATTCAATTTATTTAGTTTGCAAATCAATGTCAGTGGTAGTGATAACGAACATCAATAAAAAGTAAAAATGTATAAATAAATTACGATCTTTAAACATATATATAATATAATATGATTAGATTCAATGTAACCAAAATTACTTTTTTGAAAATTCAGTTAATATATAATATATCATGTGAATACAGTAAACTTTTAAATTTATCCATTATTTTAGAATTTATTAAATTTTTATATTTGTTTCCATGATTTAGATTTAAAGTAGCCAGTCTCAGCTTCGGACTGATTTCAGTTTTATATTTATTTTTTTACTGTTTTAAATTCTAATTCTATTTTAAATGGTATAAAAGGTTAATGAGATAAAAAGGCTAATAGTGTAAACACAATTAATTTTGTTTCTAAAATAGCCAATTTGTATGAATTAAAATTTCTTATTCTTGAAAGTTGTAAATAGTTAGATTGGAGTACGCGATTTATTACGTGTTTAGATATGTTGGTCATGTTTAGGTCATTAGTGGTTAATAATATGGTGCGTAATAAACTAATAACTATATAGTAACACAGTGACGTATTTATCAGTTCCGACAGATTTCGAAAGAGCGCAGAAGATACTCGTATAATGTGGAAAAGTGTATGCAATATGTATTATTACTCGTATCACGTATTTACAATATAAACCTACACGAAACGATGGGATCGATATAGTAATGCACAATTTTATCAGTTGGTCGAAGAATAAAAATTATGGTAAGAACGACCGTCGTACCAGATAAAAAATTAATTTTTAAAACTATACGATTAATGTACTAGGTATATTATAATAATACCGTGGAAACACATTTTAATTTTGAATTGATATTTTTTCAATATTATATTGCCGAACAGTATGTGGCTCTGAAACTAATAAAATGTACTCATAAAATAAAAAATAAATAGTGTTTCGATAGTAAGTTGCAAGTATCCGTTAAAAAAAATGTTTGAATCGTTTTCTAATTGGATTACCTGATTGTGAGTCTATTCCATAGGTATACCTAATTATTCAAGTGTGCTGCGTAATGTTATAGCTAGTTTATATCGATATTAATAATTTAGAATTTAAAATTCTTCTAGGCGAAGCACTTAACACAAAAGCTGTTTTCAATTTTTAGATTTTAAAAACATAATATTAAACCTATGTATGGTATTGAACATTTTTTTTTTTAAATGAACATATTACAGTCAAATTTTTACTGTACACCAAATAACGTAGAGTTGAATATATTCGATTCGTAACCTGTAGGTAACTTCTGATACCAACATTAAGTTTCTTACACGTTGTATCATCAATGCCGGATCTAAGTCTTCGGAGGCCAAGTTATAACTATTAGAGGTCTATTAAAAAAAAAAAATTAACATTTATAAATAATTATTTATATGTCATATATGATGTGTTAATTAAATATTTTTCTACGTTTGATAAAAGCGAAGATGGTCTTATAGAAGAAAATATTTCAACTAGATATCTCATGGCACACGTGTTCTATTAAGTCGAGTCACAGTTAGGGTCACAAAACCGAGTGCTTATGATAGTCTATAATTAATGAGTGCGGGTAACTTATTAAAATTATTTTTTCCTCGACCATTGTCCAACGTCGTTAATAATTGATTTGCTTATAAAGTCGTTAAGACCATTAAATCTAGGGCACATCTAGGCCGCTGAAACATCCTCAGCCTCGAGGACCCAGCACATTGCACTCCGCCAAACACCCGATACCACGTACACGACACACGTGACCGACAAAAAGTGCGAAGTCGGCTTTATACGTTTCGACTGGACGTTAGCCATCGCTTATTAACCCTAACAAAGCGGAGGACGCGACGAAAAGAATGCCGTCGTCTCCGGGCGATAACGATGTTCATAGACTATAGGCGTGCGCAGACTTCTTTTCCAGGGTATGCAGAAGGATGCCACTGGTGCCATGGCGGATACAGGGGGGGGGGGGAATGAAGGGGAATAATAACAATTATAATTTATCATAACACCATTCTGCGTCGGGTTAAGTTTTTGAAATCATCAATGATGTTTTCGGGATTTAAATTAACAACCATTTCTTGTTCTATCAAAAGAATCAAAGTATTTAACCTTTCTTCTATTATTATTAAACATTTACTATATACGATTACGAACATATTTTGTACAATAGACTAAACAATAATCATAAATAAAACATAAAACACTTTTAATTTGAAAAATGGTCTTTGGTATGCGTGAAGCTCCGTGTTCGTTCGGGGGGTATGCAGTCGCGTACTCTGCACACCCCCTGCACACGCCTATGTCATAGACTTACCGTGCGCCTGTCGCTGGAACGCCACGACGTACACGATCAACAGCAACAGCGCCCCGCGCGAATCCATGGCGCGGCGGCGTTGACGGCCGAACACCCACGTCTCGATTGCGATGGCGTTCTTCCGATGATAATATTGTGTTTTAGGTGCTCTTGCGGTGATGGTCGTTCGGTATTCGTACGGTGACGGCTTTTACGATTTGCAGGCAATGCCGCCGACGTGCGTCGCCTTTGATGCGCGGTCGGTCTTGCTGACGGACGGACAGGTATTTCAACGATAATATCGTCGGCGGACGGTTTTTCGCGCGCGCGAGCGTGTGTGTTTGCGGTGCGCACGTTGGCGATCGTTTAAACGACAGCGTGCGGCTACGGCGAATCTACGCGGACCGACGACGGGCGGACGGGCGTGCGGACGGCCTTGCGACGGGTCACGTGCTCTGTCGTCGACGGCGACGTTGACGTCACCGCGGACGGGCACGTCTCTTCTAATGGTTATAATATTATTATTATTATTATGATTGTTATTATAATATTGCTATGTCTCTCGTTATTGAAGTCATACCGCCGTCGGTTTTCAGCGATTGTCGTCGACGGGTGGCGGCAGAGGGCGGCTGACGGGAGAACACGACGAACCATTAAGCCTAGGTATCTGTCTATAAATCCGCAAGTCGCATGGTCTTGTCTCCTCCCTCCCCCTTTCATCACCCTAACATAGGTATCATAGTGTTATTAGAGATGTACCCCCCCAAAAAAAGTCTCCAGGTACAACGTACATCAATTTCTACTTCTACAGATAACATCCACTAGATACTACCTATTCATGCGATTACGAAGGAGATTCACAATATTATTAAAGTTAACATATTATAATATATTATCATAATATTATTTCACGATGGCTGATTGCATACGTCTTATTATTTATCTATAGAAAATGCGGACCTATATCCGCTTTTTTGTATTGCTTCATTACCTCGACTATACAAATTTACAATGACTTGACGGAATAACAACAATATGAAATGCATTTAACGCGATTCAAAAATAATACGTTAATTCGATACGAAACGGACGTTGCGTTGTAACAAATATGCCCCCCCTCCCAGCGTAAACGAGGCGTATCTTCTGCAGGACGCACCTCTAAAATTTTACTCACAGAAAATGATTCTGGATGTCTCAAGTCAGTCACCGAACCAAAGACAAAGTTGTCAATCATAGATCGCCGCAATCGGCCAAGACAGTAATTCAATAATATATTGTTTTACTTACGTTCAAATAATATTATAATATTATGTGGGAGTAAATAACATCGAGTATTTTTTTCCACAGTCTCGCGATATTCGATGTTCGGGACGAAATTGCAATCAAGTTTTAACAAATTAGCATGCATTAAATCGCTACATTGAAGTAGGTTTTAGAGAAAAGTCGTGATATTTTTACGAAACAATTCATGTAGGTATCTAAATTATGTTGTACTGTGAATAGCTTAAGAAGTTCTTAATATTTTTGTAGTTTAAGTTCGTCACTAAGTTGCTTTGTATATAATATATGATTTTGGAAGAGGTGTAGCTAAAAGAATTGTACTTCTACATAAAAGTCTGATTTTAAATTTTAATGTATAAGTTAAGTATTATTAGATAGAATTCGATATAATTAAAATATTAAAATTGAAACTGAAAGTGTACAGATTTTGGGCGACGGTTAAGAGGATGAGCGGGTGTAATGACCCTCTAAATCCTCACAGACAACGAAATCTTAACTGCGTGTATGATGTACGAGTATAGTGTATAATGTATACAACGGCCCCGTAGAACTAGAAACATAATAAAAAATAAACGCAGGTGAATGCATATTGACATAATATGTGTATATACATAGTATATGGGATACTGTATACATAGTGCATAGTCCATGCGCATGCAACTATACATTATAATAGTAGTTATTCAAATATTATACTTTTTGTTTTAAAAATACGCATACACACAAACACATATAAAATGTATTATACGCGTTAAATGTGAAAAAAAGGAGGACATACGTGTGCTTTACAAATATATCATACGAAAGTGAAACTGGCATTATGCGCGTATTTACGGAGATAAAACATTTAAATGGCCGGTTACGCAAGTAGACCTTCGGTCATTTTTGTTTTCTGTTTTTTTTTTTTTTTTTTAACAAACGAGAGAAAATTGACTGCCTAATCAACCCGTACTTTTGGATAGCCCTATATATATTATAACATAATATATATTATATACGTGTTCAAGGCGGCTCATAACCATTATTTTATGGCTACAGCTATTGGTTACATACCGATCCTTGTTTTAGAATGTTTTAATGAAATAGTCTGAGCCCATATCACCGTCGTTAAACAGGACGGATACTCTAATAAAATTGAACCGATTACGGTGTATTGGATAAAGATTTTCTGCAGGACCACAACTTACTGTAGGACCACACAAGTATATTATTATATTACATTTTATTCGGTCGTTGGAAGATATTAGACTATAATGTCATGATCTACAATATAGACTCTATTTAAAAAAAAAAAAAAAAAATGCAATTATAGAATGTATTTTTTAATAATTAAAAAATTATTTTTTATAAATTGTAAATTTAATAACTTACTAAGCTTACTAGATGAAGTAAGTATAACGTTAAAATAGTATTGTAGGTACTTAATTTAAAATTTAAATTCTGAGACATTGACGTACATTATCAATATACTATACTTCGTATAGTTATAATTTATTCAACAAACCCATTTATTAGAATACTTGATTAAGTATTTATATTTTACATGTACATAATAACTTGGCTCGAAGCATTAAAGTGATGAAGGATCAAAACTTATTTTACCTTCAAGTTTGATTTTGAACAAATAATAAATAAATAGTAAAAAATTTTTTGTAGTCATCCTATACTAACCTATACTAACCTATGAAACTATATGTTATATATTTCTACATTATATACTCGAAATTATATCAAGTATACAAAATGATGATACGTGGTAGGTTGTTTAAAAAAAAATTTTTATGAGTACTGACATTCGTTTGCTAAGATTTTTTAAATATTAAAAACATAAAATTTAACTGCAGAAAATATCACAATATTTTATTTACATCGCTTCAAAACTATTAAAATACACAGGGAAGTAATAATTATACAATATTATATTATACAGTACAAAAAATAAATCGAATGTATCTATAAACTTTTTCTACACTAAGATACTACTAAGACTTCTAATATATTAATAATTATAAGGTATTTTATAGTTATAGTATATTAATTATCATATTATTTACTTTAACCCATTTAATTTGAAGAAGGTGATTGGTGCGATTATATAAGTATTATATTGTGATATTCACTGATACAAAAATGTATCAAATTTGCATTAGATGATATTCCTTAACATTTATTTAATGCAATCGGGCAATAGTTTTAAGTAAACTAGTGAATTTTAATTTCACATTATATATCATATATTTAAAATTGTTTGTTTTTAATTATTTTATTTTTTAATATTTTTAAAACAAAATGTTTGAATTTTTATGCTATTTATCAATTTAAATTTTAAATATTAGTATTGTTATAAATACCTACAGTGAGCGTGTTAAGTTAATTTTAGTTTTATTAATTTGTATATTATTTAAGTGCAAAATTTTTATTAGACCTATCAAATATGTTTATATATATATATATATTAAATTTAAGAGTAAAATTTTATTAATATTACACTAAAAAATTATTAACATCGAAAAATAATAAATTAAACTTTCGGAACTGTATAGTCTCTGTAATTTTAGTATCAGAATTGTGTTCTTAATTTTAATTTTCCATTATAATTTATTATTATTACTGTACTATTATTTAATGTTATAAAGGGTACTTACCCGTTTATTAATAATAAATAAATATAATATATTGAGTGTTAATGTAGAATTAAAATCGTCTAATCAGCAGGTTTGCTGTGATTAAATCTAAACACTGATAATATAAAATATAAATACAATTTATATTACTTATTACAGTTATACTTACCAAATTAAATTAAATTGATATTTAGTATTTATATTATTAATCAATACGTTTAGTTTTGTTAATTATTAGGAACTACTCAAAATATTAGTAAGTATAGTTACTCAAATAAGTAAATTTATTATTGATAGATCTAAAATTTGTTCTTGAGTTTCAAATTATTGCTTATCTACTATAATTTATTTTTTAAGTGTTCAATATGTTTAAAATATTTAAGTGCTTTAAACAATACTCAAGGTTTGCGTAAAAACTAAAGAATATATTAAAAATTAATTTATTCTGTGGAAATATTTCTAAATAATCAAAAAAGACATAAAACTTAAAATAAATTGTCTAAAACCCATAAAGTAATACTAATTTAATTTAATGTAAATATAGGTACAAGAAAATGAAATCCTTCATTTTTTTTTTAAAGTTTGGAATGAAAACAATTTCTATTTGAAAGAAAAGTATTGGAAAAAATGCATCCTTTTTATCTACCTATTTTCATTGAAACTTTCTTCTAGTTGACAACTGGGAATTCAATACTATGCTGCTATACCTACGTACATTATATTTTATAAAAAAGTATAACCTAAGACTTCATTTAGATGTTAAATTATATATTTTAGTTTTTTTTTGACATGTATAATTGCAGGAAAATTAAAAATGGTCCAATTAACTGGATTGACCATAAACGCAAGATTTGTCGTATGCAACAGTTTTTACTAATATTTAGTTAATTTGATGGATGAATGTGATTGTAATATAAAAATTTCATCACATTTTTTTTTTTTTTATAAATTATTAGTTTTGTTTAATTTTTATATTCAAATATAAATAAACAATAAGTTTTCATTTTTAAGTAGTTTAAAAAAAAAAACAACACTTGTATCATTTGTCTTCAATGATTATCATAATATTTTAAAGTAGGTAGTTTTTGTATTAAAATAATACTTTAAATTATGTGACGTTGTGAAATTATTTAAAATATTTATATTTAAGTGCTAAATAGGTTATTTTATAGTTTATGTTTTA